AAAACGCAGTTATATCTAAGTGACAAAAAAAAATAGAAAATTCGATCTTAAAAAACTCTGGATAACAAATATTAAAATGATGTACAATTATAAAACTAATTTTGCTTCAATAATTATAAATAATTTAATTAGCAAAACAACAAAAAATACAATATCATTTACAATCGAAAAAATGAAAAATAAATGAATATCATATTAAAAAAATACTATTAAACTACTAGTAGATGAATTAATATTGTTTGCTCTTATTATATAAAAATGAATGAATTTATAGTATTAAATGAATTAATTCTGAAAATGAATGAATTCATCTAATGGATCATTTTGTAAATTTACCAACACAAATGAATGAATTTTAGTCTAGTAATCACAAACATAAGAAATTAAGAATGCAAACAAATTTTGTCAATTAAGAATAAACAATTATAATATTCAAATGAGGACATATAAAAAGAAAATAAAAACTTGGATAAATTATTGTTCGCTTCGCTTAATCTTAAGTTTTGCGGATTGGCCTGGATAACTTTAGTTGATGGTGATTTTGAGATCTCTCTTCGCTCTGTTATTGCGTGTGAGGCTCTGCTTGCTTGCTATTTCGGCTTGTTGGCTCATTTTTCGTGCTATCTTGTTTGTGGTTTTACTTGATCGTGAGTTTCTTTCATCTTTTGTCATCTCTTTTTCTCTGTTATGGAGGGGTCTACTCAGCTTCCCGTCTTTCTCCTGCTGAACTTTGGTATTGTGGGACTGCATCTTGGTGTGTCAGGGTTCGTTGTGTCTATGCCTTAATTGCAGATCTATTTTCGCTAGTTCCGCTTGCTGTCTTCCAGGTCCGTTATTGGGCTTCTCTCTTTGTGATGGTGGTTCATCCGGTTATACGGTGTCTCGCTCTTTGTCTCAATTTATCTGATTGGTCCGGAGTCCTTCATTTCTGGTTACTTTAATGGCGTGGTTCTAGTTTTATTCTATTCTCATCGTTTATGGTATGGTTTGCTAAAGTTTGAACCTAGTTTTTAGAATCTTGAAGTATACTTAATTCGTCATATGAAATTTTTTATTGGTATGTCGTTGTGGTTGTTATGATTTTAGATCTATTTGTTTTGATTTTAGCTATGCTTCTCTTCACTCTCCATTGTGGTAGACTATGAGCTTTCTACCCTTTTTCTTTTACTATGTCTTTCGGCCATTATATGATGATGAAAACAAGAAAATGAAAGCCAAAATAATTGTTCCTTCCGGTCTCCTCCCTTTCACCGGCTACCTTTCTAGTTTCAGTTGGTGTCTTGTCACGTGTAATTTTACTATTGGATATTAGTTTGGTCGATACATGGTTCATACTTCTTGTGATAATGCGTCACACTAGTAGTTTGTAGTAAGTAATAACCACCGTCAAAAACAAAATTCGACGTCTCTCACAAATTGTCCGAACCATTTTGATACTGCCACGTGGAAAAGACAGGGAGGTTTAGACTCGTGCCAGCAATTAAAATGACAGCTTTGTTAGAGTGATGATTTTGAATAACTAAAGTTAAAAAGCAATTAAAATGACAGCTTTGTTAGAGTAATGTTGGTAATGATCGACCAACAAATAATTATACTATACTAGATTTTATTAAAAAGTAATTAAAAAAAATTAGTCAATAAATAAGTAGAGAGATAATAGAAAGGCAACCATAACCAGCTCGGTTTGTTCCATACATCATGTGACGGTCCATGTCACCATAATTAGGAACAAACTTCTATATATTATTACTATTTTCTTACGATTTAATTAACAATCTTTATCATTCCCTCTAATAATCCATTAATCACTTTGAATTTTAAATGATCCATCTTTTGCAGAAAGATCTGTAATAATAATCCTCTTCTTTCTTCATATTACAAGTGTATTTGGTTTTTATTAAGTTTCACAAAAATACTATATGTTTTGAGTTTTTTTTTATGTAAGTTTACCCATATAAAAAAACCGATTACCCATATCGTTTAAAATCAATTAAGGGGGAAGTATTCGATGAAGGAATTTGATTGAATTGGAATGAATTTAATTTTGTTTTAAATTCTAGTGTTATTCAATAAAACATTTTAGTAATTTTTTTAAAATTCTAATGTTATTCAGTTTAATGTTTTCCCAATTCCACTATGTGGTAATTATTGTCAATGTCATTTGATAAGAATTTAATGGAAATTTTAACAAAAAAAGTGAACAACCAATTCCCAATATTTTAGGTGTCATTTGGATAGAATTAAAAAAATCAATAACACCCCCTAAATGTAACTTTTAAAATGACAATAACAAAGAGGGTGTAGATTTATTGTTGCAATATAATGTATTAAGGGAAATTGGGTTGTATAACCATAAAAAAAAAAAAAAATTCAAAATCTAGTCAAAACCTCCTATGTGGCAACATCTTAGCCATTGGATCTAAGGGTTTTAGGTAGGTTTTGAAATATAATTTTTTTTTTTTTGGTGATAGAGCTAAATGACCCATGTATTAATGTGTGTAAATAATAAAAAAATGTATATTATCCCCGAAAAAAACATGTATATTAACAAAACGAATGAAGTGGCATTTTGGGCCTTTAAGAGTTAACAATCGGATCAAATTTTCTTTGATGATAAAAAAACTCATCAATTAGGCCCATACGATCAAACAAAATAAATTGCGCATCCCTGGATTGGTCGGCAAATTTACATTTTCCTTTTTCCTTTTTCATTACATTGTTATTTACTTAAATTTCTACATCGCGCATCGTCAAAAAAAATCCACAAATTCGATTCAAAATCCCTCCGCAAAATCTCTCAAATCCCCAAAAGACGATCTTTGATCTTGTGACATTTTTATCGAATCGAGAAGCCATGGATAACAGTAGCAGCATCAATTCCACCGCTTCTTCCGCATCCAATCTCAGCACGACTTCCATGGAAAAGATCGATCAAGCGGCGAGCTGGGTCGGCACCACCGTAATCTCCGCCTTCTTCGCTTCCCTCGAGCGTTGTTCCTGCGTTAATCTATCAACCTCCGATGATGATGACGACGGAGAAGAAGCCCATAGTCGTCCCCTTGCTCTCTCCGCCGCTCCTCACCCAAACGACATCGTTTAGCTTCTTTGATTCCTCCGGTAATCCCTCGGTTTCGCTTTTTTTTTTCCCCAAAATCGGTGGTGTTGGGCTTTTAGTTCCCCCTGTTCGAGGAATTTATCTGCGATGTATGATGATGCTATGAAAAAAAAAGCTCAGAACTTTTGATTGTATATGACAGAATCTGTGTTTGTTTCTCCTTTTATATTCCTTCAAATGTATACTTTGCGTTTGGATGGATATGTTTGTTCTTTGTTCAAGATTTGTGAAGTTTTAAGTTTATTTACATAATATGATTGGTTTGGAATTTGATTTTTATGTAGATTTGTAGATTTTTGTTGTTGAGGTTACAAGATTTGCCTCTATGAACAAATTACTCAGGGATGTAAGGTTATTGACTTATTGTGTCCTATGGAAAGATTCAACGGAGTTGATGAATTGTCTGTTTCTCTGATTGTGGGAATCTCTTGTGTGTCTTATATGATCTTCAAGTGTTTGAGTTCTTTTCCGGTTTGTACATTGCTCGTTTGTCTTTCATAATCACTGCTCCATACAACTGGGAGAAATTCTTATGTTAAACACATAATCTGGTTTCATCTTTCTCGTCTAAGTTTGTGAGGATTGTTGTAGTAGAACTTCGTTTGTACATGTCTTGTTTAAGTGGAAGTTGACATTTGTGTTATTTGCTTACCTTACATTGTGCCTGACTTCAGCTTTAGATACAGAGAATGCGGTTTTTCTCCAATTTCATTGTTTTGAGAAGGTTTTCTTTAGCATTGCTTTGTTGGTCAATCGGTTTATAAAGATAGAGTTTTTCTTGGTAATCCAATGATGAGTTGCTATGAGATTTACACTCATCGTTCCAATTGCTAAAGCAATTTGAAGTTGCTATGTTGAAGCACAATTAAATGACTCTGAGGATCACATTAGATCTTTCTTCTTGTTTGTGCCCTCTCTAGCCCTAGACAAGTTTTAGTGAGGCTCTTTGTTTTGGGAGATGATGATCATCTGTTTTAGGGTTTAAGGAAACTATCTGAAAGTGTTTTGTGTTGATGTTTGTTTTCTTCATCTTACCATGATCTCCCTCAATCTTTCTTCTTGAAATTGAGGTTGTGGCAAAAAATGTTTCATTACAGTTTCAACTAAATGTGGTTTGATAAAATTCTATTTCTTTTCTACTTTGAAAACCCTACGAAGTACAAACATGTGCATCTTACAAAGTACAAACATGTGCTCCTCCAATAATTCTTTCATCTTTCTTTATTTTGTTTATCCTGGAAAAAGAAAAGATCATGATTGCCATGCTCTTCTCCTTCTTAACTTATGTAGGTTTTATATCATTGCAATGTTGATTTACTTTTCTTACATTGTTAGAAAATTATAAGAATGTTTTTTGTGTAGCATAAATATGTATGGGAAAGAAAGTAGGAAGCTCTTTGACAACAGGGAGAAGGGCATGATCATGGAGGAAGAAATCTCTTGAAATGCTATATGTCGGTGATTATCGCGTTAGTTCCATTTTGATCTTCTATGGTTATTTTTGGGGTCTACGCAATAAGTATTTTTGGTTCACTGGAATATAAAATGGATGAAAAGTGAGATTTTAGTAGTTCCTCGTTATGGATTTTGTTTTCCGACTACAAATTATAAAGAAAGTAAGACCAATAAATGGGGCGTACTTCAAATTCATAGAACAACAGACCATGCATATGCTTTCAATCATGGTCGATGTGTTGTGGTTCGAATTGAACACTCCTCTTGTCCTTTCCCTTCTTTAACAATGGAGCTTTCAAGTTCTTTTCTCCAATGTTGATCTAAAGAGTAGAGAAAGATCCATAGACTCCACCTTGGTCATGTTCTTCCATGGATTGTTCTCTTGCTTGTTGCAACCTATTATAATTCACTCAGAACCATGAGCACATTCAAACACTAGCCGGCTTTCTCAACACTAGACTTTTTTCTTTGCTTTCACTATTACATTTTGGTTCATCAATGGGTTGAACACAGAGTGAGCGATTTATATAAATCATAAATCAGGATCAAAGTTTAGATTCACTACAAGAATCAGAAGCTTTCTGTCACACCTAATACAATCCAGTTACAATGAAACATCAAGCAATTCAAGGAGAGTGATGATGAAACAAAACTACAAATTTGACAAGGAATGAAGATCCAAGTGATCTCAATTCCCGAGCTCTTCGATCTCTCCTTCTCTCAGTCTATCGTCCAGGCATTGTGAGTGAACTGTGAATTGAACAAAGGTACTGTCATCGTTCCAACACGGAAATAAAGACCAGCTTGAAGAGCATGGAACTTCGAATTGCTTAGCTACATCATCTTCTCCACTACCAAATTCATGAATCTCGGAATTATATTGAAAGGTCAAGATTTTCACTTGCAAGTCTATCACATCTTTCCAACAACCTTCTCTTTGCAGATTTACTTCTATAACAC